TGTCTTGACCTCAAGAATGAAATGTAATTTGACTTGTGTTAAACCTGGACTATTGTTACAGATTAAAATTAGTTAATGGAAACCTTTTTATTTTTTACAGAAATGTTCATGTGCTTGCTGTAAAATAGTTCAGGTGATTTGATGTTTGTAGCAAAAGGTTGTAATAATATTAAAAAATTTGTTGCTGCAATAAAGCAACACTCTCAAACATGAAATGTTTCAACTTTATTTCCAGTGTTTAAATTGTATCATGTGATTTGACAACACTGTTGTAACTGAAATAATCCGTATCATATTATCCTCTGATGAAAGGTGAGGCATGTAGTTGGTAAAATTGGTCAGCCTTCACCATTCTATTATTTATTTAGGGGAACACTGAGCTTTAGTATATGAACAGAAATGATAATTCATCTAAAAATCAAGCCAGTGTTTTCAGCTTGCATTGTACACACAAGTCGGCCTTGGTAATTGCATCTTCTCTTTGTTGGAGGATAGTAGGTACCATACTGAATTCCTCATTGATAATGGCTGGTCTGGAAGGCATGGAGAAGAGAAAATTCTTGATCCTACTGGGACTCAAACTCTGACCCTTCAGTCATCCAGCCAGTAGCCGGTTCCTATACTGACTATGTTGCAGTAGCATAGTTGGTTGAGGCAGTATGCAACAAGCTGAAAGGTTGTGGATTCAATTCTCAATAGGATCACTGATTTTTTTTTCAATTTACCTAACCCTTCCAGCTGCACTATGACCCTGGGGTTGACTCAGCCTCTAATAGAAATAAGTACCAGGAATCTTCCTGGGATGCAGGGCAGCCAGCATGTAAGGTTGGCAACCTCACTGCCATCTGTGAGCCGATGATCTAGAAAATGTGTGAGCCTCGATGTCTCACAACCCTTTCAGGACCAACTACAAATACACCTCCATCTATTTAGCCTGTCCACTGGGCCAACCATGACTATAGTGTTTCCATGCCTGTTCATAGAATGTACATTGAAGATGTAGTAAACCTTTTCCCATACAAATTAAAAACAGTAAAACTTGACTGATTCAAATTATGGTCTGGAGTGTATGTCATACTTGAAAAATGTTGGGCTGAAAGGGTTAAGCACTGGAGATGTGCTAGTTACCTGTACTATGAAACAAAGGAGGTGATTTAACAGGACAATATATTCTTTTTAAAAAGTATGTATATCCGTATTAAAGTAGTGTATTATAATAAGGTAGGATTCAATTAAATTCTAGGATTTGCATAGTATAATGACGTGATCTTGTACACTGATCTTCGTAATGGCTGCTTCCTCTTTCCAGCACCTTGCAACATACATTCCACGGTTGTGATAATTACATTAATTTGTAACTGAGGGCCATGCCATAGCTCAAGCGGTTAGTCACTGACTTCCCAACGCAGCGACCCGGGTTCGATCCAGGGTCTGGTCAAGTGGGATTTGTGGTGGACAAAGTGGCGCTGGGGCAGGTTTCCTCCGAGTACTTCGGTTTCCCCTGCCAATCTTCATTCCACCAATTGCTCCACAATCACCCTCACCTATCATCTGGGGCCGGTACAATAGGCCATAAGTGGCCACAGTACAAGGGACTTAGTCCCACCCTACTAGCAATTAAAAAAAAACTGTGTAACTGTCATACTAAAGATCACTTTAATTCCCGTGCAGATGAAAAATTTGTCTTCATAAGCTCGCCCAGAATAATTCCTGAGTCAACCGCCAGGGCCAAGATTGCCAGATGACACCCAAACAATACACTGCATGAGAGATTAAGGTTATAATGAAGAGGGCTGCCCTCTGGGATGAAATGCTGTGTAGCAGGGTAGATCATTACAAACATTTCAGGTGACACTCCTGGCTCCATCACTCTTCTACCTTGAAAATGGAAACAGCAATGTTCAGTATTACACCATCTTCATCATCTGTTGACATTTCCAGTAGGATGGGTTAACCTGTGACAGAGCTTCCTTGCCAAGCAAGTTGGCTGAAGCAGTAATGCTTTTGAAGTGTATTCAGGTGGGGCCCGACTCAAATCTCAACCATGATACTATCTTGATAGGTCTAACATGGCTTTCCTTACTTCTACTTAGATGCCAGGGTAGCATTTCAAAATTTGCCATGATTTCTTTCCTTCCACATCCTGTAGACAGAACTACTTACAGCATCATTAAATAAACCAAAATAAATAAAACTAAGTCTTCCCTCAACATGTTTCCGTCATTAAGCTTTAATTTGGTTGGCTTCCACTTCAGATTTTGTGTAATGGTCTGGTTTTTAGATGTCACTTCTCTTTCATCTCTTGATACTCCAGAGAAATTTATCATTGATTCTATAAAGTGAAGTCCTTGAGAAGCTCAAGATGCTCACCACTTGTTATGAGATGCAAGGTTCATTATTCCACATCCTCACACCACATTTCCTTCAAGATCCAGTTCACTATTATCCTTCCATCCTCCCTTCAGGTTTTGGGGCCAAAATTTTGTATATCATCTCTTCCATATCTACTTCTTTCATTTCTTTATACGTGTACAATGAGCTGGGATAGTTCAATCAGTGAATGGATTATGGGCTAGATCAGGAAACGGGTTAAATTCCTAGAAGAAGACATTTTTCTCTTCTCCACAGCATTCATACAGACTGGGACCCATCCAACATCTGCTGTGCTCTTTCCCCTGGTGCAAAGCAGTCAGAGTGTGAAGCTGACCGCTCATTTCCATCTAGTACTGAGGCTAAGAATGCATGGAGCTATACTTTCATGCCCTTATATATCTTTATTTTGTGATGCTCAATTAATTACAGAGATAATTTTACCTTACCTGTTTACACAAAATTATTACTGTTCTCAGGTTTTCATCAATCAACAAACAAATTGGTAGACTACTGTCTACTGGCATGAGATGCTATGTATGGGAGCCCCAGGTCTTCTCATTTTCCTGAATCACTGATGGTTTTCCCTGAATATGAAGGCAGCAGGTTCCTCCAAAATGTTGGTACCTATCTCCCAAATATGTGGCATCACATCCCAGAAGACACAGTCCCTCCTTTGAGAACCTCAAATCCCGGACAGTAAATATACAAATTTTTTTCTGCATAACTATTAGACTTAAATGATGAAGGCATGATTAAGCATGATACACAAGGAATACTGGTAGTTCATAAATAGCATCTAAATTACACTGAAAAATCACTGTCACTATCACTTGTCTTGTGATACACAAGGAATACTGGTAGTTCATAAATAGCGTCTAAATTACACTGAAAAATCACTGTCACTATCACTTGTCTTGTGATACACAAGGAATACTGGTAGTTCCGTCTAAATTACACTGAAAAATCACGGTCACTATCACTTGTCTTGTGGCTTCATGTCTTCAAGCTTTTTCAATAATGAATTACCAAATGAAAGTTTATATGAAGAACTGATATGATTCAGTAATGCATATGGGGTTTCAAAATACCTGTTAGAGAATTCCATTTTATTATCATAGGCATGTCCAACAATCCTGAAACCACTGGCACTCAGTTCTACACAGTATTGAACTCCCTCCACAGTTGTTATATTCAGATAAATGCATTGATTGGTACTTCTTAAATTGTCTGATATTCCTATGTTCTGGACATGTTCCTGTACATCTTGAATGACTGCAGCTGCTTCTGTTTTCCACTGCTCTTCATTTAACAATATTTCTTCGTGGTGTTCTGCCATTATATTGGGGCCTGAGACAGAATATATGTGTATTAAAACAGTGTGACATGATGATGAAAAGTCAGAATCTCGGAATCAAGAGAAATCTTGCAGAGGTGTCCACTGGCACGTAACATCAAGCACCGATCCCCAAAAGTCATGTGTGCTCAAAATAAATCCATGACAGTGATATGCACACACAGCAGCTGAATTGTTTTCCCATCAGTCCACAACAAAGCAATATACAGAGTTGCAAGCCAACAAAGGAGTCCATGGTATCATGGCTCAAAACCTAGCAACGTGTCTGTGTAGACACAGCCAGCAAGGTACCAAGCAAGAGCAGTATAACAGATTGTGAAATTATAGTGAACACTTGTAAACTGTATTAATTATTTGTACATAAGACAAACCACTGATCACCTCTGTGGTCTAGTGGTCAAAGTTCCTGGCTATAGATTCAGACGTCTGGGTTCGATTCCCAGCACTACCAGATTTTCTGAGTGGTAGTGGGTCTAGAATGGAATCCACTCAGCCCTGTGAGGATAATTGAGGAGCTATTTCAAGGAAATAGCGGCTCCAGTCTAGAAAAACGAGATTAACAGCCGTGGGAATCTGTTGCACTGACTCCCACCCGTGCGCATGCATGCGCACACACCTACATTGACTAGTGGATCTCCCCACCCTCCATGATTGAGACTATACCGTCTAGCAGGCCCAACTTAGAAGACCCCCCCCCAACACACAACTGATGACAGAAACAGATCCAAATTCTAAATGCTGCATATTACTGGTACGTGAAGAAACAGGCAGTACTATCACTTAGAATTTCAATGGTTTAGTCTGGGAGGAAGTACCTATGCATATATCTGGGGAATACTGTTAACTGGCAGGAACAGAAATGGATAGGATTCAGAATGAAGATATAGGTCACTAGCAGAGAGGATGATCATGCACAACACTCCCTACCTAGGATGAAACAGTATACTACACTACATGGATTGACAGATACATAGAGAGACATGCCTTCATGGGAATCAATTGATAACATAAACAGTAACAAGAACAGAGTATTCAGGATAGAATAATCTTTTCAAAATTGCTTCTAATTTTTATTATTAATATTTGTTATACTTGCTTCTCTTCAATTTTGATTTTCTTTTCCAAAAATCCAAGGGGAGGGCGATGACTGGTTCCTCCCCCCACCAATGACAACAGAGATAAAGAAGTTCCCAGGCAGGTGGATATAGATGCATTCCACATACCCTAGTGAGATGGATGGGATGTAAGTCATAATAAGCTGATATATACATACCTCACAGGAAAAAAAAGTCAGTTCAGTTACTGATCTGCTTAAATTTCTGACTTTGAGCTAAAACTCTCATCTCTGTAGAAGCTGAAATTTGAACTTCAGAAAATACCTCGATGGTGGATTCTGTTCTGCAAGAAATAACCATTAATGCAATATGTGTATTCATAACATATTTAAACAAAATATAAATAACATTGTTAGTGACTCACATTCTCTGTTCTGTTAACTGTTATGGCAACCAAATAACCGTACATTTGTACGAACATAACTATGAGATTAGATAAGCATATATGATATAGTTCAGACTATCTAGCTTGTGGCATATCCATGTACCTTCCTTTATGTGTATTAGTAACCCTCCAGAGAGTTCACTCAGCCTGTTCATCCCATTTGTATGCATCAGACAGCTCAGCAGATTGCAATGAAATCTGATAACTGAAGGACTGTGTGAAAATCTGTCAATCTATTTCAATTTTCATTTAGATTGGACAATTTAGTGACCAATTTATATGAAGACCTACATGCATACCTTGCCCAATATTTTCAGAGAAAAAGTTTATCTAATCAGAGTTGTGAAGAAAAATTCAAAACATAATTTATGTCCAATATGCTTCTTACATCTTATGGTTTTCAAGATAATTAAGCAAATCTGTACTAACCACAGGCTTCTGAATTTCCATAAACTATCTTAGATTGTCCGCATTTTTCACAGATGAAACAACAAATAATATGAGCTTTCCGTTAGAAAAACTGTACCTTATGACAGAGAAATACGAGTAAAGGGCACTGTCTTACATAGTAATGGAATATTATAGTGCCCAGAAGAAGCGGCTTTCTGTTTTCAGAATGCAATCATAGTGTCAAACACTTTGGAGTTAATACTTGGTACTAGAGCGTTCCCCACAATGTCATGTTTCGTTGCTGTTTTTATTACACAGTTGAGCCTCCTGGTCTTCCTGATTAAGGTAATGTTCAGTTTATCTCAGGGTATGACGAACCACACTGAATTCTGCACTTTAACGAAGGCCAAATAATTTAACCTCTCTAAACGCCGAAGTTCAAATATACACATTAGTATACGAAGCAGGTATCTAATTAAAAAATAATTTGTCATAACCCTGTAACACATTACGATACGCAACCCTATAACTTCAAGTCTGCAAAATATACATACACTGCTTCAAGTATATGCCTTGTAACTCGTCTGACATCTTCTATAAAACTAAATGTATATCCCTAAAACCTCATATTGCTATTCTACAATGAACTTCCACTTACAAAACGCCTGAATTTTCTTTCGACATAAACCATAATATTTAGAGAGCATTCTTCACGGATCAGAATTCGTGGTCATTTCACACTGCATTACGGGCAGGGATCACCAAGAGGTTAATGGGTTACTGGCATAGATGATTAAAGACCCTAGCAAGTGCCAGACTGAGAGGGGAAATGTGCATTAGCGACATCTACGGTAAGGATACCATAATACTTTTTTACCGGGACATTTGATAAAAAAACGGTACACGATAAAAAATTAATAAAAACAAAAATAATACATTATATTAAACATGTTTTTGTTTTCACGTGATTAAATACGTCCAACCGACAACCATGTGCAATACAAAATTTCCCGTTACATAACGTGCATTCAACATACTCATTTAATATACGGATATTTGCTCTTAATACCGTCATTAATTCTGCACTTGCATTTTGCCATCACTATATGGACAAACCCTATCAATTCTCACAGGCTCTCATAACACAACGTAACGGTCAACAAAAGGTGCAGAGACTGACACAAACAGAACATCAATCAAGGAAGAAAATCAAAATACTTACTTACTTACTTATAGAGCTGAGCCCTTCTTGAGGAGAAACCAAAACTGCAGCTACTCAAGAATTTCCCAGCATTTTATGGAATCCGAAGGTTCATTACCGTTTTCACTAGAGCCCTCCACATGTCAATATCCTGAGCCAGATCAGTCCAATTCATACCATACCATCCTATCGCCCTAAGATCAATTTTAATATTGTCCACCCACCTGTGCCTTGGTCTTCCCAGTTGTGTCTTTCCTTCTGGATTTCCCACCAATATCCTATATGCATTCCTCATCTCCCCCATTCATGCTACATGCCCTGTCCACCTCATCTTCCTTGACTTGATCATTCAAATTGTACTTGGATAAGAGTACAAATTATGAAGCTCCTCATCATGCAGTTTTCTCCAACCTCCTGTCACTTCATTCCTCTTTGGTCAAAATATTCTCAACACCCTCAATCTATGTTCCTCCCTTAATGTCAGAGACCAAGATTCACACCCATGCAGAACCACTACCAAAATTATAGTTTGGCATATTCTAATTTTTGTTTTGGGGCAGCAGACGAGAAGACAAAAGGTTCTGGAACGAATGGTAGTAAGCATTACCAGAGTTCAATGTCTTAATTTCCTCCTCAGTCAGGTTCTGATTTGCTATTGTCATTCCCAAATATCTGAACTGTGCCACATTTTCAGAACTTCTGTCTTCTACCGTTGTGTCATGATTTTGCCTTGCATTTTGGTGACAAGAAAATATATACTTAGTTTACTTGTGTTTACTTCTAGGCCAACCTCCTTACTTGCATCAATTCAAGTTTGTCTTTCTTTATGGTATCTATATTATCACTCTGTAGAATCACATCACCGGCATAGACCAACAGTTGATGTGTCCTGTTCAATTTCTGTCCCACCTGGTTTTCCTGGACCTTCCTAATGGCACATTCTAAAGCAAAGTTGAAAAGGAGTTGCAATAAAGCATTTCCTTGTCTTAGACCATTCTGGATAGAAAATTTATCAGACAAATGTTTACTTATACAGACTTTACTATAAGTTTCATTTAAACACATTTTAATCAGTCTAACTAGTTTCATGGGTATCCCAAACTCAATCACAATTTTGTACAATACTTCCCTCCTAACTGAATCATAGGCTTTCTTGAAGCCTACAAATAGCTGATGCACTGTCTCATTGTACTCCCATTTTTTCTCCAATATTTGATGAATGCAAAAGATCTGGTCTGTTACATCGAAACCCACACTGATGATCCCCAATTATTTCATCTATATATGGACTTAACCTTGAGAGAAGAATATTGTATAAAATTTTGTATGAAGTTGATAGCAGTGATATCCCCCAATAATTACTACAGTCAGTTCCATCACCCTTCTTGTGAGCTGGTACAATTGTAGACTCCTTCCACTGATCAGGAAATTTTTCCTTATGCCAAATAAAAGTAATTAGATTGGGGATCTTAGAACTAAATATTTCGCCTCTTGCTTGAATAAGTTCTGCCTGAATTTGATCACTACTGTATGATTTATACCATTTCAATTTTGCAATAGCACTTTCAACCTCAATAGGGCTAGGATCAGTTACTAACGGCTCTGCTGTATGGATTTCTGTCTGCCTAACAGCACTGACCCTATGTACATTCAATAACAGAGAAGTAGTTCTTCCACCTATTCAGAATGTTGTAGGAATCTGCAAGCAGATCACCATTCTCATCCTTCACTAAGTTACTGCTAGGTTCGTAACCCCTCTTAAAGTCATTTATTCCTCTGTACAGGTCTCTAATGTACTTGTTCTTTCTGTTCACTGCAAGCTCATCAATTTTGTCTTTCAGATATTCCCTCTTTTTATTCCTGAAATGCCTGCTGGTTTCAAGTCTTATATTGTTCAGATTATCCCTATTTATTTTGCTTGGATCCTGTAACCACTGTGATTTGGCTTGTTTTCTTTGGTCTAATATTTTTGAGCATCCTTCATCGAACCATGGCTTATGCTACTTCAGTTCATAATAACCTAGACTCGCCTTGGCGGAAATTTTTATATTTTCTCTAATAGATTCCCAAGCTTTATTAACATCCACCTCAGGGTCCAAGTTTTCCAAAGCCGCTAACCTATTTGAGATTTCAACATGATACTGCTCTTTACCCTCTACCTCATTTAATTTCTTGAAATTGAACCTCTCCATATGAACTCTGTGCATTGTTTGTTTGCTCACTGTCAGTCTTTCCCTAACCTTTGCCACCATCAGACAGTGGTCAGTATCACAATCTGCTGCCCTGAATGATCAGACATCAAGTATACTTGAATGCCGTCTCCTATCTATTAAAAAATATGGTGGAACTGATTGTGTATCTTCCCATCTGGAGATGCCTAAGTAAATATATGGTTATGATGTAGGAACATTATACTTTTGACAGTAGGATTTTTTGATGTGGCAAAATTTACTACTCTAACTCCATTATCATTACTAATTTCATGCAAACAGTCATTCTGAACCGTGCAACGGTTCTTCTCCGTTAAGTTTCTTTGAGTGGCCTCTCTGGACACCAGGATGCGAGCC